AGAGATATGACAAATTCCATTGCCTATATTAGTACAATATTTATCTAGGTCCAACGAGTTTAAAAATATAACTATTTTACTTGCTCGTGTTGTAGCTGCCAAATCTCACAGCGCTAACGTTGAACGATTAATAAGTAAGAGCAATATTCTTAAATCAATAAATCGTCGAAATTTACTCGTAGAAACGTAAAATGAATATCTTTTTATTCATTTTAACATGCCCACACTTCAAAATTGGGACCCAAGACAAGCAATACAGATATGGTTAAACCAAAATGAATGTCTAGAGCAAAAGAGCAAGAATAGTTTATTGGAATTTTTATAGAATCAACAAAAAAAAAAAAAAACCCAAAAAAGAACAAACTGAAATAAAAATTAAAAAAAGAACGTTCTAAAGAGTTGTTATTTTATTCAATATTAAATCAAAAAAAAAAAAAAATAAAAAGTTAATTAATTAAAATAAAATATTTTAAATACGAATTTTTATTATTTTATTTCTATTTGATAAATTAAATTTTAAATTATTCCACCTGAAGCTAAAAATGTTACTATTTTGAACTATAATTTTATATTATAATTTTAGATCATAGTTCTTAGCTAATTTAAACAAAATGCGTAGTTGACAAAAATCCTTAGAATAAGCCCTGAATTAGATAATTATTGAACCAAAATATTTAACGATAATGGTCTGAATGAAAAGTAGAGATAACACACCACAACGTATTTAATTTGTTAAAATGCCAAGTTAAACGTTTTAAAACGGTGATATGTCAATTTATATTACGTGCATCATGATAAACTATTGACATCATATAATGCACCCCCCCCCCCCTGTCGAACTATATTGTAATCGATATTTGATCCGATTTAGCTTAAAACGAAGAAGTGTTACGCTTGTATAAAATAACCACAAAAATATGTATTGCGTCACCAAAATTATTTTTTTTTCTTCAGTTTGTTTTTGCATTTTTTCGAGTAATAAATATGGATTAAAAGTCTTATGCATCAGCTTTTTAGACCAGAAAATGCTCACAGATGATTACCTAGAAAATCATTTTTCATTTTTCTTAGTAGTTTTTCTAACGTAATTGAAAGATTAAAAAAAATTGTTGACTCAATATTAAATATTGTCCTATCCTAACCTAACAAAAGATACTCAATAAGTATAATGTATTATCCATCAATTAATTAATTCATAAATATTTATAATAAATATAAAATTGAAATAACCAATAATATTTTTTAATTATTTAAAATATAGTATTCTAAAAATTAGTAACTACGCATTTTTTTTTTTTTTTCATTAATTTTTGTTAATATTTATATTTTTTACAGAAATATATTATAATATAATTTCACGGTACTATTCCATTGAAATATTTTATAATAACATTCATTGTACAAACATTTTAATATTATTAATATTAGTGATTCACATGCATATTAATTACTGTTTTTCGATTTCCATAAAAATATGAAAAAAATAGATCAAATTATGGGAAATAAGAAGTTTTTCAAAAATATTTTCAGTGAATTAAATAAACCAGAAATCTATATTACCTACTTTCAAATTTAAAACTAAAAGCATAATTTGTAATAAAGAAAAAAAATATTACAAGAAAACAAAAACATATATTACTGTAAATATTAAATTAAGTACACCAATAGAGTAGAGAATAAAGAACCTACAGAATAAGAGCGAAAAAAGATTGATAGGATTGTGAACTCGATTGGGGAGGAGAATAATTCAAAGACTTGTCCTTCCCTACCTGCTTTACCATAACTGTAATTAAAATTCGTTCAAAGCTGGACATTCAAACTAATATGTATACTTAACGTCGAGAACAGTTTTCTGCGTTTAATAAGAGTGCACAAGAGAATTCTAATAACATTTGAAATGCACGCAGAGTGATTGTTTAATATGTGTATGTATCATAACTGGTTGGTGTTTAATTAATAAGAATTAAATACCAGGTGTCATCGTTTATATATGACAAACTGTAATTATTTTAAATTTTACGAACAACAAAAACAAAATCGACTTATTAATTTACGAGTATATTGTCCCCTCAGAATAATAATAAATTAAACTTTATTATTTGTTTCCAGCGGTGGATCCAGAATTTTTCTAAAGGAGGGGCTATATTATTTATATTATATTAATTTAATTATAAATGATTTATTAAGCTACTATAACTTTTAATTACTTTTTATTTAAATAAAATACTTTTGTTAATACATAATAATTATTAAACTAATTGAATTAGATCTAAATTTAATTTAATTTTTCTTTTATGTTTTTTTTTTTTTTGCATATCCAATACATCTTCTAAAATTATAGCTAAATCTTTATTAATACGAAATATTGATCATCCATTATTCTAATTCATTGTTGATTTTAAATAAGTTTATATTCGTTTCAATGAACTGAAAGATCATTGCAAAGTCGCTGTTGTGACGTGTATAATATATATTTTTAGAAAGCACTCAATATTAGGAAACAAAGATGCAGATTTTAAGGCTTTCATACGAATATCAGCTTTTTCATTACCGATTAAATTAGATGATTTTAATGCACATAAACCAGCGCTTATGTCATAATGGCCTCTGACATTCGACAACATCAGTTGTCTAACAATTATATAAGTACCTATTTATTTAGTTTTAAAACTATATCTATTAAGAATAATATTTAATCAATTAAACAACCATTTCAAAATTGTTCTGTAGTCCATTGAAAGGAAGAGAACGGAAATTCTGTGCTTTGCCTGGATACGCCACTGTTTCATATTATTTCATTATTGACCTTTTTCAAATGAAATCATCACAAATAAATTAGTTAATTTTACCCAAAATTCTAAATAAGTTTTCCCTATACAGGTTTTTGTTTTTAACAGGAAATACCCATGTACTATCAGTCAGCCTACGATAAAATTATTTATACATAAGTAACACTGTAAGTTATTGTACGTGACAAGATAATTCACCAAATTTTTCTGAAAATGATCATGAATAAAATCGAATACCTAACGATATTTAACATAATCTCAAGTCTTAATAGATCTGTAGCTTAAATATTGGTCCCGTTGATATATCAGTTTCGTTTCTCTTTAATTGTATATTTACTATTTACTATTATGTCATATTTAATTTATTTCTTTAAAGCCGGTTCCACACGACTCGTGTAATCGGCGAATATTCATCAATCGTACTACTTTGCGAGTCGTGTGTGAAGTATTTAATCGTAAAGCACGACGATTATTTTTACTCGTCGAGTCACTCGCGGTTTCCCGTCGGTGTCGGATAAAACACGAGTGTCTCGTACTGATATAAAATTTAATCTTAGATTTTCCCCCAAAATAGACTATTGTTTATTGTTAATATCATTATTTTAACAGCAGTATACTAGTAGTCGCACGTCATTCCCACAGGAATCGTGCACTTGGCAATTGGCGTCAATAATTAATTATTATTATTATTTAATTTTTTTAAAAAAAAAATTTTAACTGTTTAAATGTATATACCTACTTGTGAATTGTATTACTAAAATTTCATCGAAATAGAGTGCTCCAATGAAAACACATTGGAATTTTTGTTTGAAAAAGAGTCATTATTGACTAATAATCAGCGAGCACACGAGTCGTGTGGGACTGGCTTAATATATACTTCAATGAAGAAAATTTTCCAACTTTCTGGAAAATGCCTCTTATTTATCTTATATTATAAAAATTCGATACATCATCAATAACTATCATACTATTTCTTTGTTATCTATTACTCCAAAACTTTTATTGCACTTAATTTCATCAAAATTATCTATTTTTTGATCCTCTTTTTTAACTAACAATCGGTATGGTTATACTTTGTTGATCTATCTATAATAATCTCACAATTAAACTAATAAAAATTATAAACAACAAAAAAGATGCAATTAATTTATAATCCGATATTAATAAGTTATTACCATGGTGTATATAAATAACCTTAATTTAAATATTAACAGATATAAATTTATGCATTATAATCTAATAAAAATTCCAATTATTTTTTTTTATTCTATTTTTAATACTAAAATCGGATTTGTCCATTATTTTATAGATTTAGGTATAATTTTTTATTCCAAATTAAATTTCACCTTACACACAGAAACGATTAAAAATAAACCTATGCGTAACCTAGGATTAATTTAACGTTAGTGAAGTTCTTTTACCGACCTTAATACTTGAAAAATCTTTTATTACTCATTTGTCCGCTCCAATTTAAAATATTGCCATATCATCTGGACTAATAATACAACTAAACAAATTACTATGTTAAAATCTGTTCAGAACAATATTTTCCGCTTCATTTTATTTGAGTTCAATATCTATACACCTTCACATACTTCTTACAGAGATATTTTAAATTTCCTCAACATTTTACTACTAAAAAACCACCGTATATTTTTACTCTCTACATTTTTTCATCAATTAATACTGGATAATATTGATTTCCTAGAAATCGTATCCTTAATACGCTTTAGAATTAATTTTATCCTAGATCTTCTAATAAAAATTATATTTTTAATTCCCCAGCTAACCGCTTAATAGATGCTGGCAACACCTTTGTTTATGATTATTTATAATATTATTTTCCTTGTTAACAAAGTAACTTTTTATACTTTTTTTACTTTGTATACTATATTATTTTTATATTATTTTATTTTTCTCTTTATATTCACCTTATTATTTTTATTACGAAATATTATTTTTTCTCTGTGTACATTATAATTTATCACCAATTTATAATTTTGTAAAATATCTCACGGCTGTATATTTAACTAAAGAAATAAAAAATATACATTAATGATTTACATAAATACATAATAAGCTTAAATAAACGGAATATTATTAAGACAGGAGCCAGTTAATTAGTGTAACCTGCATACGTAAACATATATTACAAATGTGACATCTTAATATAGTCATTAAATTTCATTGAATATTTTTCAACTGTTTCAGATATGATGTTGGCAATTTGGCAAATGAGTCCAATGGAGCCACCTAGCTTCATAGCAGAACCACCAAGCCTAATTTATTTCTCTAATACTACGGGTACATTGATAAATTGCCAAGGACAAGGAAATCCTCAACCCAATGTCACTTGGTTGCATCACAACGACCGTATTGTAATGGACATACAAAGACTTAGGTACTTTACATTAAATTATACCATTACAAGAATGAACCAAACTGTGGTAAAAAATACAATTATACACGTAAGTAGTATATATTTGTAGTTTCTGAGTCCATTTTTTGTTTCTCTCAAAGTTGTTCCAATAAAAAGTTATTTAGTTAATTAGGAAAGTTTATTAAAAAAAATTGAAAAGACTATTTTATTTTTTGTACACCAATATTTTATTTTCATTATGTAAACACAATTTTTACAATATTATATTTAGCATTTGTACAAGTTTTTTACTTCTCTGCTAAGAGGTACATATCCTATAATACGATCGTGAATTAAAATACAATATGCACTTACACCCTCTATATTCTCTTAAGCTTCAATTTCTATACTAACGTCAACAGTCGAAGCTGTACCTGCATCATTCTGTTTAGAATTGTCTATTAAAACGATTGGCGCTTGAGTCACGAAATCAACTGAACTTAATATCGGATTGCTTTCTTCTTTTCCATAATATAATATATACATAATATATAATACTGCATGATTTTTTTTAGTAAAATCTATATTTAAATTATCATATGGATAAATGATAGAGTTCATAATAACTTGTATGTTAGTTAATTTACAATGATCAAAAATACTTGGGTCTTTTATAATATTGTTTTTTCGATTCTCTTGCAAACCAATTATAAAAAAACGTGGTTTTCGTAATCAATAGACTGTGTATAATTTCATACACATTAATAATCCATAGATTGTATACATTATATGGAATTATATAGAATCTATGGATTATATAATATCTATGGATTTATATAATATCTATGTAATTATATACAATATCTATGAAATTATATAATATAAATATATTAAATTATATTATAGTATATATATTTATATATAGGACTTGAGAAATAGAGGGCCGGAGAATTGGAAGATTGGATGTGTAACGGGATGGTCTTAATGGCCGACAAACCCCAAAGATAAGATACATAAAATATACATATTATATATAATTATATAATATATTTATATATTATTAAAAAAAATTGATACAAAATGGTTTGTCACAGGGCTCAGTCTTATCACCTCTTCTTTTTAATGTTTATACAGCAATACCAAATCAAATAACCATATTTGACATTTACGTTAAACATTTATCATTGCTATTAAAATGCTAGTTGGGATTTAAACAATAAGAGTATTGTAAATGAAGCAGGAAAATTTAGTGTTTTTATACCATTAAAGTATTGGTTAGGTTTTTTTTGAAGATTTTAAAAAAATATTGGTAAATTCTTGAATCGAATTATTATATATATATATTTAACAAGAATTAATACTGATTTAACTTCTTTACTCAGTAAGAACGAAAACGCAACTACAACTACAGTTTAGTTGTCAATTATAAGTTAGTAGGTTAACTGTCACTCTCAATAAAGTAATTTGGAAAACTTCACACATAAGTGTAGATGATTCTGAACGACTAAAATTATTGAAAATGTTAGAAAAAGGAAAAAGTTTATTTATTCCGTTCAAATCGGATGAAACTTATGAAGATCCTGAACTCGGTAAATCTAAGAACATAGTTTAGAATTAAAAAACTGCATCAAAATTAGAAAACCCACGATTTGTTATAATAGTTTTGCAAAAATATCGAAAAAACAATATTATAAAAGATCCAAGTATTTTTAATCATTATAAATTAACTAACATAAAAGTTATTTTGAACTATGTTATTTATCCGTTTGATAATTTAAATATAGATTTTACTAAAAAAAATATGCAGTATTATAATATGTATACATTATTTCAATAATCATATTATGGAAAAGAAGAAAGCAAACCGATATTAAGTTCAGTTGATTTGGAGACTTAAGCACCAATCGTTGTGATAGATAATTGTAAACAGGTACAGATTCCACTGTTGACGTTAGTATAGAAAATGAAGCTTTAAAGAATATAGAGGGTTAGGATTTTAACAGTGGTGTATATAGAAAATATTTTCGAGAGGGGCTCATATGGACGGAGTTAAATTACCACTGCTATCTAAGAATTACTATCAAGACACAGTAGGTAATTATCTATATTTCATTTACAGAATGTTCCAAAACGATTTGACATTGGACGCAAATTCTAAATAAGCATAAAGCATCATTAAAATACGAGTATAATATACATTTAAAATAATTTTTAAGGTTTTTAAAACATTTCGGGGAGGGAAGCGTAGCCCACTAGGCACCCCCCCCCTTATTCACCACTGAAGTGCATTTTAATTCACGATCGTATTATAGAATATATACCTCTTAGCAGAGAAGTAATAAAACTTGTATAAATACTAAACATAATATTGTAAAAATGTATTGTAAAAATTGTGTTAACATTATGAAAATAAAATATTTGTATACAAAAAATAAAATAGTCTTTTCATTTTTTTTTTTTTTTTTTAATAAACTTTCCTAATTAATAACATAATTTATTATTGAAACAATTTTGAAAGAAAAAAAATGGACTCAGAAACCACAAATATATACTACTCACGTACATGTGAACGTATTGAAATATTCTAAGAAAAGTTTCGTCAAGTAGAAATATAGGTAATGATAAATTCAAAATGTAAAACCTGTGCTCTAGCATCATAATAATACACGAGCACCCGAGTAATAATCTTAATACAAATATTTATGTTGATTCAATCTGATTAAAAATCATCGAATACATTAGTAATTATTTGAAATAAATCGAAGGACATGCAGTAATTTTAATTTATACAATCTTCTAGTACGGTACAGAAAATTAAATTCAATAACAGCAAATGCTGGAATAAAAATACATTATTATTCAATAAACAATTAATTCTGGGACAAGTAGTACATACTTATGTAGAAACAGCTCCATATTATATACGATAATGAAACCAAGTGAAACATTTAAATAAAAACTTCATTAAATGGTTTTTTACATTATTTTACATATAATATGACTTTTTCAGCACTTACATACCTTACTGAAATATAATTATTGTTAATGAATATCGTTTTGAAATTCTCTGTATTTTTCATTTACTCAAGCAAAATATTAAAAATCGAATCGATTACAACAATAACAACAATATAAATAAAAAATTATAATACTGTGCATGAACAAAAATTGCATCTGCTCCAGTCGGAATAATTTCGTTTTGATATTTTTATCCCGAATTCCATAGGGCCATATTATTATATTGATAAATGAAACGTCGATAATATAATAATACGTATTCTATAAGTAAACATACGAAATAAACGTATCGGTTTCGAAATTTATTTTCTGGAGATTTTGACTGTGTTATGCGGTTATGTGAGAGCATAGAATGAATAGATTTTAAATGGAAAACGATAGTTTTCCATTTAAACTCTATTCACGATTTTCTTTTGATTGCTTATTTTTTTTTTCTCATGTCTTCTTATATTGTATAATATAAGTAAAAAAAAAATCTATCGTGCTCCCAACACAATATCTTTATGGTGCGTGTAATCCTGTCATTGTCTTTTTTCCGCTCTGTCACTCTCTTTGTCACTCTCTCTCTCTCTCTCTCTCTCTCTCTCTCTATCTATCTATCTATCTATCTTCCTTTTTTCGTTATTGAATGCAGTTACCGGTTACCGTAAACCATATTTTCTACACTAGCTACCACTTCCCTTACAACTTTCAATATTTACACATCAGATCTATATCCATTTACGAGAATTCGTATTATACTGCGCACTTGAAACCGATTACGCGATCGTGGCAAAACTCTTGATAATTACGTTCCACATTTCCTACGTGCCAGTATCATTATCGGTGCCGGATTTAAGAAGGGTGCAAGGGATAAAATTTAGATACAGGTCATAGATTCTATCAATAGCATCAAATAGTACATTTTATCATGTATTATACTCAATATATTTCAAAATATATTTTATCATCAATTAATGGATAGTATGATTCAACAAATTATAAGTATGTCGAATAAAATTATAAAATCGTTCATTGGACATTGATTTGTTTTTAACTCATTATTATTGTTCCATTATAACATGTTATGAAGTATGAAAGAATAAAATAAATAAGACTTATGTCAATCAACTTTTCTTTTTTGAATTGGCTTCTGATTACCACTTGTAACCAAGCTTCTCAAGACTTAAGTCCGACATGAGTCATTGTAGCATATTACACACATGTGCGAATACGTATATATACGTGTGTGTGTGTGTGTGTGTGTGTGTGTGTGTGTGTGTGTGTGCGTGCAGTGACGCATACTCAAAAATAAATAGGGGTAACATATTGAATGAAAAAATACCACCCATCAAATAACTTTCAAAAACATACATGGAAGGAGCTTTACCTCCACACCCCCTTACTTAGAATTTTTATAATATTGATGATAATTATAACTACAATGTTCACAACAAATCAAATGAGAAATTACATTTTTTTTTTTACTTAATCTTCAACTTTATCAACTTATTATTAAAATATTGAATATTAATTTAAAGGAAATTAGGTTCGTTAAATATTAGCTAATTATTAAATATAATTATATTTAAATGTATATAACATGCATTTTTACTACAAATACAATTTATATAAAAACAAATATAATTATTATAACTGTAAGGCTTAATAATTATATTTAACTGAGCATTCGCTTGGCCTGCCACCATGAATATTAAAATAAAAGGTGTACGTGTATTCACCATTTAAAAAATTTTAATTAATTTATTAATAATATTTATGCACACTGGAATCAGTTATAAACTTTTGTAAATAAATAAAATTAATATATTAAAATATTTTATATTATACTGGTGTTGTTGGAAAACATCTTCAATTGACTGTGATAATTATGGATGACAAAATACTCATTAGTATTTAGTCAGTTACCTTTATATAATCTTAATAGGCTAATGGTTATATTATTCTATAATTTATTTTTAATATTTCTGTACGTAATAGAATAATAATGTAGATATTTTAAGGCAAGGGATCTATCCAACCAC